TTTTTGTCGGTGCAAGTGGTTACAAATTAAACATTGATTAAAATTAAAACAGTGATTAGTTAAACAACGTTTATTGCAGAAACGGTGCAAACGGCCATAAGCAGCGATTCATACGGAAAAGGCGTTCAAAGCGTTCAGCAGTCGATACGAACGAATTGGTATATAAAACATGTATCAGGAAGTGCTCGGATTTCGTCTCTCGGTGATCGATACAGAGAAGTCCATCTTTGCCAGATGCAATATGTAACATTCTCTACGACATCCTTCTTCCCTAATGCTTTCAAGTTTAGACTGTATAGTATACCCTTCGAAAAGTGGTGTAGACGAAGAAGTTAACATAGCCTCCTACAAAAATTAGCTGTCACCTTTGATTATAAATGAATAAAGAAAGCTGTAACATAAAATTTTTCAGGTTCGCCAACTTAAAATTTCAGGAAATGAAGTGGATTTTTAATTAAGATTGTGGAAAATGTAGGGCTTCTTCCGCAAATTTTTCAATTGAAAACGTGGTATTAAGATAACCTCTATCCATTTCTATCAATTTCATGCTCGTGCCTGGTGGGGGGAGGGGGGGGGCTTATTAGCGTCACATACTCTTAAACGCTTCTAAATTAAAATTCGAATTTCATTAAATGTATGTAATTATGCTTATAATCTCCGTTGTGATTTGCTTTGATAGTAGCCTTAAGCATGGAATAATAGGACCACAATGAAGAGGGTTTTCTTTCTTTTGGTAGATGCCAAAAATAAGCCAGAAGAGTCTTTTCACAGTGGTAGTATTCGACGGAATCCTTCCGTATGTCGCAGTATTTTAGATAGTCGTTATACATTTTTCGTATACACTTTTCCTTTCTTGGTTTTTCATCAGTCTGATCAATTTCATTCATTCATTTTCTTTTCACGAGTTACAGACACAACAGAAAATGAAAAAGATTTTAGGCAATATGGCTACCGTTTGTTTAACCGTAGCTGTAGTTACGTTTCTAAATTTTTTTAATCAAAACAGCGCTAGATGTGGGTGCAAAATTCAATTTTTTTGGAAATATTAAAAAAAAGATATTCATCTGTGCATAAAGTTGTGTATGTACCACGAGCGTAAGTTGCTTTTATGGCCTTCGACGTATTTTTATCCCTCAGCTGAGGCCTCGGGCTCAAAATTACGTTTTATGCCAGGAAAGCCTCTTTACGCCCTCATAAAAAGAAAATCACGTCATTGTAATACCCAAATGAATCATTCTTGTATTTTTATGTGCAACAAAATCGGCCCTAGCAGAAATAAAAATAAAATTTGGAAAAAAAACGAATTCGTGGTAGGTTCAATTGACAACACACCCAAATTTGATGCGATTGGAACGGGAGGTATTCTTTGCATGGGGCTTAAAAATACCGCGAACACTCTAAGCAAACACCTCAGCAATGTACAATGGAACCCATTTTGATATCCGTTCGTCATCTCAACGTTTATTTTTTTATTAGGGGCGAATACCTATGTTTAGGACGAGTTTTCGGATAACTCTGAGATATAAAAAATTTAAAAAAAACAAGTAGAATTTCCCCATTTCTAGTTACATGGTGTTCAATTTAGCTGATTGGGTCATAAGTACAAAATACAAACTAAACACTGAAGCATATGTAAATTGCATCGTAAAAATTAACTAATACAAAAGAATGGTGTAGGCACCTAAATTATTGGATTACAGTCTTTTGAAATGTTGGTAATTATGCTCTAATCCACTTAAATATTTGCTCGGGCATGAAAATAAAGAGCAAATGTAACTAATCCGATGTGAATCTGTAATACGTATAACATGTGGAGAGAATTTAATTTGGGATTAGTTTACACTTTGATAGTGCTAATTTAATTTGTAATTGACAGTGTACCTTTCTAATCTGCTCGTGTGCTTTCAGGTGAGAAAAGCAAATATGGAACGTCAACGATTATCAAGACTGCAAAGGCGAGAAATAGGATTAGCTACGATGTTATTATTTGTAGTTCTCGTATTTTTTATTTGTAATCTCCTACCTCTCGTTAATAATATTATCGAATCTTTCCACTTTCAACTTGATCAAATTACTAAAGTACATATTATAAAAACCAGTAATCTATTCGTGACAATTAATTCCAGTGTGAATTTTATCATTTACGTTATATTTGGAGAGAAATTCCAACGTTTATTTCTTAGATTATTTTGTAGTCACGGCTTCTTCTCGTCGTCAACCGGGCGGGATTCACCTGACGGAGCGACGACAAATGAGGACAGTTTCATCTCAAACGGAGATCGACAAAGTATGAGGTTGTATAGGCAAAGCACGACTATTAGTCGAAATGGCACTTCTATAAGACTAAACGGCACAGACAGGAGAAGCCTACGTACTCGCGTGCCCAGTCCCGGACCCTGCGTTTACTATCCAGCGAATAGGAGAAAGAAGGAGAATAATTACATGATCCAAACATCAATACCTTCCACTGAATGGGAAGAAACTAATTGCAATTCCGCTACGAACTTCTAAACCGAACCTCTCCAAAAAAAAACGTGATCGAGTATGTCTGTCCTTGAACAATAAAACCTAAATTAAGGTAAATACTGGATGCGAAATGTTCGTTTCAGTTCAGATTTATCAAATCGCATTGGCCTTTGGGCTAACCAAACGGAAATTGTTTGGTTGAAATATTCTCGTCATGAGGGGAGAGAATGGATAGATCATTTTTCACAGGAGGAATGTCAATATTTCAGGTCACGTATCATTATAGTTATTAAATTTGATGTTACAGATACACGAAAAAATCAAATATTGATCCGAAATTTTTTATTTTACTGAATTGGAATTAATACCATATGATATTTTAACTGAATGAATATTAATTATTGTGCTCTGTTCTAAGTTCATAGTGTGAATTTCTGCCACCTAAAAACGATTTCATTATATGGTGCTAGTTTTAGAATAATACCTACTGTTTTCACAATGATATGTATTAAAATACCAATTTTGTAAACACAAAATTTCGAATAAGATTTTTTGGTGCATCGCGTGGTAGAGTTGCCTAATTTAATTTTAATAATAGAAATACCGCGTAGACCAGTGTTTATGTCAACCTGTTTATTTATATTGTTGAATGTATTGAATGCTAATTAATGTTATGGACCAACCGTACACTCGTGTATGATCAATTATTATTAGTAATACCTTTAGGATTTACATACAAGACAGGGTAAGGGCGAGTGACTGTTAAGAAATAAACTTAGTAAAGACGTATAATATGCAAAATTGATAGATATATCATTCTGTTCTAGTCAAACGTTGTAAATTCGCTGATTAAGCGAGCGATTTTTGTTATGTGTGCTTAGATGAGTGACCGAATACATTAAGATTACACCTAATATCACTACTAGGAGAAAACGATCCTCCTTGGTATTACCATTGTATGCGTACCCATTGATCAATTTACGGGGAACTCAAACGCTCTTTTCTGAAATATTTGAATACCTATCTGTATTAATCAATATGTAAATGTAAATTGTATTTTTGTATTCTTTTTGTTCGTAAGTTGATAATCATGCAATCATAGACAAGAGAAAATAGGTGATAGACATTTCACCTACTGCCCATTATTTCATATACAACATTTGTTTTCTGAAATGTTTGTAAATTCGACTGATTCTTTTTATAAATATAGATGTTATTTTAGCAAAACATAGGTAATTGTAGTTACATTAAATCCTTATAGATGCAGGTGTTTTTTTATAGCGTGTGCTTGTTTGTACGTAGCCGTAGGGTAAACCTATTCGTAATGGTGTGCAAAATGGGTCTTCAATATGGCAGGGGCACCGTTTCCAAAGAAACACCGCGAATCCTACAAGCTTACTTTTTTGAATAAACTGGTACTGTCGTCGAAGGAAAGCCATAAAACAGGTACAGATCATAACGTTGACATCACCGAGTGCGAATTACCTTTCGTTAGAATTCCATTTGCAATTATGGTAGATGGCCTTAAGCCCTTTGATTCTATTAAACCTGTATAGAACGATTTTTTGAATAGCGAGTTTAATATACACGGTGTTCAGCGAGGAATGGGACAGCGCGATATCTCGGGAACAAATTTTAAAATTTTTAAAAATTTGTATAGCTAGGGCCATATATTTCGCGATAAAAAGTTTTTAAATTAAATGCGTCACCGCCAGGCTTATTCTTTTAAACGGAATACCCTACTGTTTATTAGATTTTTGGAATTTACAACATATTTGTGATAACTTTACTTATAAGTGCTATTAATCTATCTCGTTTACTTTTCGGATATGCCTAGGTGCTAACATAAATGCTGTATCTGTGTTACATCTACAGAATACAATCTTTTATCATTGTTTTTGTTTTGATAGAAAATCTATCACGTTATCTTCATTCATTCGAATTTTTTGAGCATTTATGTAGGCACCAAGGTACATGCTAAATTAATAAAAATTATTATTTTCCCGAAAAGTAAACGAGATAGTTGGTAGCACTTATATGTAAAGATGTCACTAATATGTTGTAAATTCTAAAAATCTATTCAAAAGTATAGGATATTCCATTTAATAAAAATTAAATTAGGAATACGCCATCTGGCGGTGAAGCATTTAATTAAAACGCGTATCACAAAGAGCTTATATTTGTAAAAAGTTTTAAGAATTTTAAAATCTGCATTCGATCCCGAGATATCGCGCTGTCCCATTCCTCGCTGAATACCTGTACAATTGTAAAAAAAATGTATCTAAAGGTTTTACGTGTTATAGATAACATCTATACAATGTGGTTTCGTTTGGACACTTGTCCGACTTTAGTATCATTATCACTTCTTCCAAATCGTAGAGAGAAAGGTTTTGTGGGAGGTGTCATTTGGCAGGGAATGTTAATGAACTCTTCTATTTCCTGGTCTTCGTCTTCCTGTTCAGTTCTGAAAGTTTCAGCTAGGTACTTCGCAAACGCGTCAGCTTTGTCTTTATCCAATCTGGCACATTCTCCGTTAGTTTTGCGGATTGGTGGTACATATACTTGTGGCCTCTTTAGCTTTTTTGTTGCCTTAAAGCGTTTGGTCTGTTGCAGAGAGGTTTGTTAGGTAATGCTCTAAGTCTAACGAGTTTGTTTTGTGCTTCCCGGAGTACCGTTTTTAATTTTCTGATTAGCTGTTGTAAGTAGGCTGGTCCACAAGACCACAACGTTTTTAGTCCTAGCGCGTCTTTTTTCAGTGATAAGTGTAACGGAACAATAGCAATATTCGAAGCATTACTGCTTGGTGGATAGGCTTTCCAAGCGGCATCTTGTACCATTTTCTTGAAGTAATAATTTTTCGTGGAAGTTAATTTTTGGTATACCTTTTATTATAAAAAAATTTAGGTCATCTGGAATTTTTCTTGGGTCACTGGGGACTCCATTGGTAAGGTGATCATATATACACATATCAATAGTTATAAGCAGTCATTGATTTTAGTTCCGTTGTTTTGGCCTTACGACCCTAGAACCCCATTGCGTATACCTGGCATTCCAGTCGACTCCTATATCGAATGTCTTGTATTCTTCGGTGCTTATATTATGCGGGCTGTATACTACTGCGACGTTTAACTTCCAGAGCATATAGCTGCTACTTCAATACTTGCTACTTGTATCTTTTCTGTTTGGTATTTTTGCAATTCATGATGTAGGATCGATTGACAAATTAGTATAACAGATCCTCCATGAGTAGTGCCGTCCGGTTAAGGGGTACTGTAGGTAACGTAATGGGGAATTTTAAATTCTGGCAGATTTGTAGACTAAGGTACAAATTTTTTGGAGTTATAAAAATGTTATGAGTTCCTGCTTATTATGGAGCAGTCCGTTTGAGTTCCACATGGCTATGCGAAGTATCTTCATGAATTTAATTTATTGATAAGTGTCGTACAAAACCCTGCTGTTTTGATTTATTAGTTGGGATAAACTTTGTTTTTAAAGTTTGTTAAAAAATGTCGCTAGATGATCTTCTAAGCTACTTGGTTGTTCAGATCTTCAGGGTGGCCCAATGAAAACGAAACATACGGAATAACTCGCAAGGCAATAGTTTTGTGAAAAATCGCAAAAACTTGGTTAGAAACTTACACCCTTGCTGTCAACTCCCTAAGCAGGGTCCCCACCTCTTCAATAAGTTTAAATTGAACGTTGGGCCGAGTGACACATCATTGGAAAGGGCTCTTAATTTCCTACACGCCTATGGTTTAGTTTTCAAATGCGAGCGACTATTTTGGAAAATTAACCTGACTGTAAGGCTTAGATAAATAAAACAAACTATGTAACATAAGTACGTCTGGTTCACAGAAATAAAATCGTATCAGTATTTTAACATCAGTACCTAAAAACTGAGCTAAACCCCAAACCAAAACATTGGTATCTGACATATCAGATAATTCAACAGTTGTTCATAATAGGGATAGCTTTATCCAGTTTTATGAATCTAAATATTTCAGGATATTAGGAGATTTTATTCTGCTGATTTTTCATGGTTTATGTTCTTCAGGATTGTTTTGTGTAGCAAATATGTCCATTTGAATTATCTGTGCCACCCTGTATCCTACAGCCGACTTGCTCAAATTTAAAAATAAGCCATGGGCGTGTAGGAAATGAAGAGCCCCTTCCAATTATGTGTCTCTAGATCCAACGTTCAATTTAATATTAGTTTCTCTTCCAACCAAAATCGCCGTGTTTATGTGTTTGTTTCAAACACAATTTCCTTACTAGTTATTCAGTCTGTTTCGTTTTCATCGGGCCACCCTCAATAATAGGGATAAGTGGGATGTTTCACACTTTGTGCCCTTCCTTGGTAGTACAAAAAAACACTACCTAACCAATAGAAAATTTAGACATCGACATTTTGAAGTTAATCCGCCATTTTGTGGGCGTAAAACAATATGGAAGAAGCTAAGGGCATTTTTGAAAAAAATACGCTACCTATTATATTCGTTATGGCTGGCAGGCCGGCTGTCCGCGTGAGATCTCCACAACTACAATAACTAGAGAATTCAAATTTTCACTAAAAGCTTTCTGCTGTAGTGTGTATAGATGTGCAGGCACTAGTCTATTTTGAGTTAGATTACTTGTGAGATCGATAATTGAAGAAAATAATTTCGATATGGGTTTCGGAGGTGCTATAATTTTACCAGTATAAAAACTTATTATTTACTTTGTGATTTGTTTTACAAAATGAAGACGTAGCCTCAATTGAAATTAAATAAAATTAATTATTTAACGCAGCCAAAATTACTCGTGAGATAGATAATTTTAAACTTCGCTAATAAAATACTGACCTGCATTACCAAAAATGCGCTTTAATCATGCATATGCTGATTTACAACTTGTTTAAGTGTTTTGAGATATTTTGCATGAAGGATTCTTTGTTTAACTTAGAATTGAGTAATAACAATGTACAATTGTACACCATAATAGTTATGTTATAAACAAACAGAAACAGGAATTTGGATAATAATTTCTATTGAACGTACCTAATCTACCTTGTTTTTAAATTTACCAAAATTTCATATGTTTAGAATAAGAAAAAATGCAATAAAATTAAGACCTTATTTACTTCAATTTGCTGTCGGGCAATGATGTTGAATGTTGATACAATCATACGACAGGAAACCCTCTCCGTACATTGATAATGGGGTTCACGACGGAATAAAGTAATTCTAATGGAAAATTGAACCGCTGACACTCTCACTGACAGATACTGATTTTCTTTTACTGCATGATCCAGAACGTCAACATCAAGAGGATATTCTTCGTACAATGATGATCACAATCAAATCCAAATTTCTTTGATAGTTTAGTGTCGTATTAACGGCTTTTATAATTGTTGTCTTTATTCACAGAAAAAGGAGAAATTGGTTTTCTAAAAATCTAAACAACACATTATTCTTCTGATTAAGTAACATATATTTTCCAAAGTATAGCAGTAGTATTGTTTAACGATTAGGTACCACAACAGCGAAGTCCAAAACCCTTATTGTTTATTCAGATGTGCAGAAATTCCTTCGCGATAAATGGCGCACTACTATTGCAGCTTCGAGAATGTTTTCTTGGATCAAAAATAGATGGTCCCGAATTGCTTATTATTACGATACCAGAGATTTATTTAACTTTTGATAACTCGAGAGTAATTTTTAATTCGAATATTAAACTACCTCATAAGCATCCCTTTTTCGCTAGAAAAAATATGCCACTGAAATTCTTTAAATCGTGATTTAAAAACGTTCTTTCCGAAATGTTGAAAAAACATTATTTTGCCCGAAATCACGACGCTAATTTCAAATCAATTTTTTTTCAAGCCTACCCAGTTAATACTTTGGCTGTTGGACGTCGAACGCTCCCTACTATATTCTTGATGACTTCCCAAAAACAAAATGGCGAAGTAAATGAAAATGGCCATATACAAATTCTCTACTGGTTAGTGCTTCCTTTTCAACCAATCCCGAATGGTTTTCAAAACCCACGCATCTCCAAAAAACGTATACTCAGCACTTTACAGGCTACTAGCTTTATCTCAGGATGTGATAATTAATTTAAGACTATACCTATACCTATTAAAAAGGATGAAACCGCTATCTAGGCGTCAAAAGTAATTCAAAGCTACGATTACAACAGCGATAAAGGTACAAATTATTGTTTATTATCTGTGCCCTTTTGCGAATGAATCACCAATATTTACTACCCTCGTATTTTCATACGAGGAGAGTCAAGGGGCGCTCAACCCCATTGGAAAGTGGTGATGAAGGACGAAGATCATATGCCCAGAAGGAACTACCGCTGTGGATGATCTCAAGCTTTTATTTCATTTCTCAACCCTGAGCTAGTTGGCCGTTACTGCGGCAGGTTTGAGGTAACGCAGCGCCAACTCTGCCTACCGTTATAAGACTCTTCATAATATATGAGAGTCTAAACTCTTTGAGTTGATAATATCTCCTCCATTTTTTTTCAAATTGTTAGGTTGGCAATAAGCGAGTTTGGGACAAGAGACACTTGCAATAATGTAATTGTCAGAATGTATGTACGTTTTATCCGTTAATGTTTGTAATATACAAAATCGTCCTGAATAGCGTTTATCATTGCTCTCGGTATTTATCCATACCCATCCATTTACCACAATTGGCGACGAGGATAATTGGATTAAAGATAATTGGAAAGGATAATTGGTTAAAAGAAAAGGTCGATATTTTTTTTCAACATAACCTAATTGGACGCGTGCTCTAATTTTTCTAATACATATTTTTTTGGGTTACGTTCGTTACAACTTGGTGGAAAGATGCCAGCCGGTGTACAAAACGCTGTAGTTACTGACCCAGTTAGGCCAGCCGGTGCACAAAACGTTGTAGTTACTGACGCAGTCATGGGACACAGACCAATTGTAGGCTCGATGGCAGAATACAATCCAAAGGAAGATTGGGAGTTATATAAAGAGCGTTTGGATCAATTTTTTGAGGCGAACCAGATTACACATGCACCATATTGCACAGCGACACTCATCACGTTAATTGGAACATCAACGTACCGAATTTTGCGAGATTTATGCAGCCCAGTTTTGCCAAAGGAGAAGACATATGCGGAGCTTTGTCAATTGTTAAGACAGCATTTTACTCCAGCGGTAGCAGTATTTAAAGAGAGGATTGAATTCTATAGTGCAAAGCAAGAGGACGGAGAAACTATCAACGATTGGTATTTACGAATTAAAAGCTTAGCTTCAAATTGCAATTTTCATCATTTGGAAGACATCCTCAAAGACAAATTTGTCACGGGAATGTTGCCAGGCAGAATTTTAAGTCGTATTTGTGAAGAAGATCCAACCAAGAAAGATTTGGAAGCACTCAAAGTTTTAGCACAAAGTTTGGAGGTGACGCTGAAAGAGAGAGACAACATTCATTTTGTGGGGCGAAGAAAATCTTCACAGTTGCAGGGGAAATCTGGACAACAGAAACGAGAGGTGCCGTCAAGGAGTTTTCAACCGATTCAAAAATCTTCAAGTAAATTCCAGCCAGGGGCTAATACGAGGTGCTACGCTTGTGGTGAGACAAATCATAATTATAAATTTTGTAAATATAAACGATATAAGTGTACTAACTGTTCAAAGTTTGGGCATATTAGTAAAGTATGTGCAATTAATATAAAAAAGCAACATTTTTTACAAGTTAACGATGAAGAAGTTGTTGAAACAGACGATTTTCCAGAGGCATTGTACAATCTATTTAAATTGAGCGATAAAGACATTGTAGATAGGCAAAGTTTATTTAGTATTCAGCTAGAAATAGAGAACATTAAATTTTGTTTTGAGGTAGATACGGGGGCTAGTGTGTCCATTTTGCCCGAAGGTATTTATAAGGAAAAATTGTCTATGATTCCATTAAGAAGATGTAATACTAGTTTACAATGTTATGATGGGAAAATGATTATTCCATTAGGATCGATAAGGGTAAACCTATGTTATCAAAATAACAATTTTATGACAACTTTGTTAATTGTAAATAGTAATGGTCCACCATTATTGGGTCGAGATCTGATAAGTAGATTAGGAATTAAGTTAGTGGAATCGAAAAACAATAATGTTTATAGTATTAACGTGGTAGGGAATTCTAAGAGCTTGAACGCTTTGTTAGATAAATATGAAATCATTTTTCGTGACGAGTTAGGAAAATTTTCCAAAAGTAAAGTTTCTATTACCGTTCCAGTTAATACAAAACCAATATTTTGCAAACCTTATAATATTCCATTTGCATACAAGGCCAAAGTTGAGCAAGAACTTGATAGATTAGAGAAAATTGGCGTAATTACAAAAGTCGAAACAAATAATTGGGGAACACCACTAGTTCCAATTATTAAGAAAGATAATTCAATTCGTTTATGTGCTAATTACAAAATAACTGTAAATAAGTTTTTAGATAACTTCAATTACCCAATACCTTTAATTGAAGATATATTTGTAGCATTACAAGGAGGTGTAGAATTTACCAAATTAGATTTAAGCCAAGCATATAATCAGCTCATAGTGGATGATCAGACAAAATCACTATTAGCGTGGAGTACTCACAAAGGAGTTTATTTAGTTGAACGATTACCATTTGGGGTGAAAACGGCATGTGCAATTTTTCAAAAAGAAATTGATACTATCTTAAAAGGGTTAAAAGGAGTGTGTTGTTTTATTGATGACATTATTATAACAGGTAGTACTCGCCAAGAACATTTGCAAAATTTAGAAGCAGTTTTAGTTAAGTTAGCCGCTTCTGGTATCAAAGTAAAGCTAGATAAATGTGAATTTTTTAAAAGTAAAATTAATTATCTAGGTTACGTTATTGATCGAGAGGGGTTACACAAAGATAATGCGAAAATTCAAGCAATTAAAAATGTAAATAGGCCTGAAAATGTCACTCAATTAAAAGCTTTTATAGGTATGGTCAATTATTATGGCCGATTCATAAAAAATTTGGCAAATATTCTAAAACCGTTGTATGAACTATTGCGTAAAGATGAAAAGTTTCGTTGGAACAAAAGTTGCGAGGAGGCAATGGAGAAAGCAAAGGATGCTATTAGTTCAGATAATGTACTGATACATTTCAATCCAAAGTTACCACTTCAGTTAGCTTGCGATGCTTCTATGTATGGCATTGGTGCGGTTTTGTCACATATTGACGAACAGGGAATGGAAAGACCAATAGCATTCACTTCAAGAATTTTATCGAAAGCTGAGCAAGGATATTCAATGTTAGATAAGGAAGCTTTAGCTATTTATTATGGAATTAAAAAATTTTCTCAATATTTGCTAGGACATTCATTTACGTTGCTTACCGATCATAAGCCGCTTGTATCATTATTTGGGGAAAATAAAGATATGCCTGCGTTAGCAGCAAGTCGATTACAGAGATGGGGTATATATATTAGTAATTACGATTATAAAATTAAGTACATAAAGGGAACACAAAATTCTAGTGCTGATGCATTATCTAGAATGCCATTAGTAGTAAATTTTGTAGAAAATCTAGATGTACACCCTCAGCTCAATTTTATTGAAACTGAAAAATTAGCAAACTTAAGTCAAATTCAACAAGAAACTCAAAATGATACAGTACTAAAGCAAGTATATAACTTTATAATGAGGGGGTGGCCTAAATATTTAAATAAAAACGATGTTGTATTAAAACCGTATTTTGACAAAAGGAATGAATTAACTGTAGAAGAGAACATTATCATGTTAGGATATAGAATAGTGATTCCTGAAATATTACGAAAAAGTATACTTGAGGAATTACATTCCACTCATTTAGGAATTAATAAAACCAAGAGTATAGCTAGATCATATTTTTGGTGGAGCACAATGAATAAAGAAATTGAAAATTTGATATTATCATGTGATGCTTGTTTGGTGAATAGACCAGAACCACAGAAATTAGTAAAACCATGGCCAAAAACAAATGAAGTTTTTGAGCGAATACATTTAGACTTTGCAGGACCGTTTAAGGATAAATATTTTTTAATCATAATTGATTCTTTCAGTAAATGGCCTGAAATATTTCAGTTAAATACAATTAATACAAAAATTACAATTGAAAAATTAAGGGAAACATTCGCTCGCTATGGAATTCCTAAAACAATCGTATCAGACAATGGAAGACAGTTCACATCTTTTTTTTTTTTTTTATCGATGAAATTCTCCATTTTTATTAGCTTTATTCATATGAGGTTAAAAAACACACAGGAAGTGCAGTCGAGCTAATAGGTTTTTATTTTTCTGTATAGGCTATCGATTTCGGTACGTTAAGCAATACCATCTTCAGGCCGTAGCGTCATTAGTACAAGATACAATATAAGAAGCAGGTGAATGAAACATTGTGTGGGAGATGTTAGAAATATGTAGCTTGGATGATCACAATCAGCAGAAATCATAAAGGTGAACGAAAACACTGTGTTGATGTCTAAAAGGTGGATGTAAGCGTGTATGGTTGAAGTGTCGAATTGTAGGTTATGTGTTCACATAACCTACAATTCGACACTTCAACCATACACGCTTACATCCACCTTTTAGACATCAACACAGTGTTTTCGTTCACCTTTATGATTTCTGCTGATTGTGATCATCCAAGCTACATATTTCTAACATCTCCCACACAATGTTTCATTCACCTGCTTCTTATATTGTATCTTGTACTAATGACGCTACGGCCTGAAGATGGTATTGCTTAACGTACCGAAATCGATAGCCTATACAGAAAAATAAAAAACCTATTAGCTCGACTGCACTTCCTGTGTGTTTTTTAACCTCACAGTTCACATCATCGGAGATGAAAACCTTTTGCGAAAATAACGGCATTAAACATGTTTTTACACCACCTTACCATCCGAACAGCAATGGAGCAGCTGAAAACACAGTAAAAACCTTTAAAGCAAGTTTGAATAAAGCATTAAAGGATCCCAAATGCAGAAGTGCATCCATAGAAACACTGATATCAAGATATCTGTTGTGGTATAGGAATGCAATGCATAGCACAACAGGAGAATCACCAGCCCAAAAGATGTTTGGAAGGAAACTACGAATGAAGTTTGATAGGATTAGATCAAATAATAACATCGAACTGGAAGGCCAAGTAACAGACAAGAAGCAATGTTTGGTGGGGGCACAAGTTTATATAAGAGATTATAGAAATCCCAAAGAACAAAAATGGATTAGAGCATCGATAACAAAGAAGATCGGCGAGGTAATATATGAATGTGAAATTCCGGAAACCGGGACAACGCACAGAAGACATCGGGACCAGATAATACAAGTAGAAAAACATTCAAGGAGCACAGGAGACAAAGGAAAATCAAAAACTAAAAGGATAGGGTATGTACCGAAGACGATGGAAGAAAATAAGACGACATCAAATTTGGATGAGAGAAGCCACACGATTCAAGACGAAGTATTAGTTGAAGACGAAGTATTAGACAATATCGATCAAGGAATTGTTACTGCAAGTACACGACCAAAGCGTAATATTAGAAAGCCAGATAAGTTAGATTTATAGTTCGAAATAGAATTGTGAGGGGGTAGTGTTAGGTTGGCAATAAGCGAGTTTGGGACAAGAGACACTTGCAATAATGTAATTGTCAGAATGTATGTACGTTTTATCCGTTAATGTTTGTAATATACAAAATCGTCCTGAATAGCGTTTATCATTGCTCTCGGTATTTATCCATACCCATCCATTTACCACACAAATTTTGACTTATTGTCGATTAATGAGATGTCAATGAAAGAGAAATGAACTAAATTCTTTCCTTTCCTTAAACCTTTTTACCTGAGCCAGCTATCAAGTAAAAGTATACAAATTACTTTAGTTCCAAACGTACTACAACCAAAAGAAAACGAAGGAAAGGTAAGGAGAAATTTACACCACGAACTACAAATTTTGACTTATTGTCGATTAATGAGATGTCAATGAAAGAGAAATGAACTAAATTCTTTCCTTTCCTTAAACCTTTTTACCTGAGCCAGCTATCAAGTAAAAGTATACAAATTACTTTAGTTCCAAACGTACTACAACCAAAAGAAAACGAAGGAAAGGTAAGGAGAAATTTACACCACGAACTACATCCTGAATCTGAGATGATCATTAACAAGTTGTAAGCACAAAATAGTTCCCATCCGCGGAGCAAAGGTCTCCTTGAGAAGCTCCCAAATTTACATTTTCTTTTCATTTTATTCTGAAGAACCATAAAATGTACTAAGAAAGATGTCACGTCTTTGGATAACGTATTGGGTATGCCCTTTTTTTCCGATTTTGTAAAAATGTTTCCAAAATTCCCAGCTCAAGATGACCTGCGTGTGTGTATGTATATATCAATGGCAGAAATGTGTAAAATCAAATTAATAGGCACAGTTATCCCTTTCAACTCGAAATTGTACATAAATGAGTGATAAATTAAACCACAATTGTAAGGGTTGACAAAATGTAATTGTACTTTTAGTAATCGAATCTGCGAGTGAAATGGGCGCTTTATTCGTTCGTTCTATTTGCTCTGTAATAATAAAAGCGTGATCCCATCCATTGAAAAGAAATGATTGAAAGCAGTGGATTAGAAAGTCAGGCTTTGTCAGATTACACGATCAATTTAGTATGAACAAACTATGTTGAATATGTTAGGTGCGAGAGTCCTTTCCAGTTCGGCTCAGAATTCAGATTGCTCCAATTGATGAGCAGGTTCGAATTTTTGCACGTCTCGAATTCCTTACAAAGCTAGGGATCGAGAGTTTGGAATTTCCTTATTCGTTGCGTGTATACTGTACAAGAATTCAAAAGAAATATGAAAATTTTAGAGTGCTGATTGGGAAATGTAAACAAAATATCTGGAGTCTACTTTTCCGCTGCCAGTCTAGAATAATGAACGTGAGGCTTGAAACGTTGCAACATTCTCTAGCGACTTTTAATTATCTCGAAATAAATAGAACACAAGTGCTTTGAAGTTGCCTTAAAGGAGTGCCGGATGCAATAATGGCAATGTATTTGTAATGTACGAGTACTATGACACCAATTAATCTGCTTACGACGAATAGATAAGCTTTGTATATTGGAAAGTTTTCATCATAGAACTGTTGGTATCAGTGATGTAGTGGCAAAATTTCCAGTGTTGGACAGCTAAATATACTTATTTGACAAATTACACTAAATTTTATATATTTCGGTTGGCTTTGCAACCTTCATCAGAAACTAAAAATGTTAACGTGATTATTCGAGGTACGGAATACAAGAACTTAAGATTTATTATATTGGTCCGAAACTGGTGATCACAACATTAATTAGACTAATTTTGTAAAACATTACTACTGTTATAATAAAAACGTTGACAACGATGTTAAAAGATTACACATTAAAAACAGAAAAGCAAAAAAGGCAAAAGTTACGACGTTTAATCCATGCGGCCAACAGGTGTTCAATTATAAAATTTTTTACAGGTACAGATTTTTAGTAATACACTAGAAAGTTATGAGTACCCACTTAAGTGGTGGTGAAAATCCCTAAAGATTATAATATATACGGTGTATCTTAAAAAGAGACAAACGAATTACATAATGATTGTACCTATACATACAAAATTTAATTTGTTAATACGGCACATTGAAACTGCATTACTGTTATGTTAATATAAACAAAATTGTTGAATTGGCAGTTACTAACTATAACCAAGACTAAATTAAATGGAGGATTAATTGAAAATTTAGAACTATTTTTGTCTTAACTGTGAAAAGGACGGTGTGACAGGGGGGAAAGGACTTACGAATGTATGAGGTTGTTCAAAAACTGCATTTATGACCTTCCTTTCTATTTGGTGTAGGGTTGCTATAATAAACAAGTATAAATTGTGCACAACTCTTGTGCAGATAAAGCGCATTTTTTTAACCGAAATAACTTTTGTTTTGACAAATTTAAAGGAAATTTTGATGGTAGTTCCATCTAAAAACAGTAAATAAAATACATGCGCAAAAAATCATGTTGCAAAACTCAACTTTCTTATTTATGAAACAATTTAAACGAAATTTTCATGGTAGGCAGGGGCGCCCGCAGGGGGGTGTCAGTAGAGGCAGTTGCCCCCTCTGAGATTTTGAGTGGAAAATATGTTAAACATATCATTTGAAGAAAATGACACATATGACATATCCCATTAACAACTGCAGCGCAGCGGTAATTAATTATTGTGCAAAATAATTTGACGATCGTAGCTGGATGACTGTTAAAGAACATTCTCAGACCAATGATGAAGACTTGAAATATAATATGTATTTTATAGACTTACTACAACATGCGCACACCCATTTTTTGCCTGCAATGGCAAAATGTCTTCAGATTGCATTATGCTTACCACCAACAACCTGCACGGTCGAAAGGTCTTTCAGGTCAACAACAAACTAATATAAATTATGCGTCAGCGTCAGTAATAGTTAACACAAGTAATGTTGCGGCAGAACTATTTTGGCTATTATACAATTTTAATAACACATTCTAAAAACAACCAAATCTTTTAAACAGTTCAGCTTATACCCTTAAAATTTATTTCCATTTCCAGTTTCTAGAAATAAATAATAATTTTTACTTTTGGTGGTAACTAAAACTAAACTGGTAAAGACAAATAGACCTACATTTGCCTACATTTATGTATATATGATTTATGGATGTTCTTTAATAGTACATTATATATCAAGGTAGAGAAGTACAGTATTATTGCTTGAGCACCAAGATTACATCTCGAGGCGCTTGCTTCTCTACCGTGGTATATATACTATTTTTTTCACTACTAGTACTTGAAGTCCTCTTTAATTAACATATTATATTGATAAGAAAGTGAACGGTTGGACAGAATTTTTTGTTTCTTAATTTAACATGTCAATCAAGTGCATGGAAGTACAATTCAAACAGGCCGTATTTTGTTCTGTCATTGAAATATTTTCAAAGAGTAATTTCGTTCGAATTTTTTCAAAATGTGATAATTTTAGGTATGTAATTTCTCTAGAAATGGCGGATGGTGGCAATTATTCATTTTAGAGAACTTGTCCAAACGTTTATTGAGCGAAATTTGGGGTTGTGTTTTTTAAAAGTGATATCGTGTCAGTTCTCATTATTGACTACTAGTTAATAATGTCCACATTATTAACCACTTTGAACAAATGCCGAGAAAGCCTATACTTTACAAGTGGAAAAAAGGTTAATAATCATGTCATCAGACGGTAGTAGTGAAAAAAAAATTTATTTTGACTTGATCTTAACCTACTATCTCTTGTCGATAACTAATCTTAACATTTTTGATTCACAGCACTCTCAGACGAGTAAAGACATGGATAAGAAGCACGATGTCAAATAGTCGCCTGATTTGACTGTGTCTTCTCTCTGTCCACAGAGGCCAAATTAAAGAAGACAAGGACAATTTCATTGAAAAAGTTGTTGACAGATTTGCCCTTGACTCAAGACGCGTTAGGTTCCTGTTAAAATAAAAATGTGTGATTATGTGAAGCATACTAATAAACAGCTAGATTTTCTTGAAAATTGTTTGTATTATTTTTCAATTCCTATAGTACCTACCTATATGTAAAGTATAAAATTATGAAAAACTGACTTTGCCTGCCCCTCCTGGCTAAAAATCCTGCGGGCGCCCCTCATGGTCCGTCCCTCTAAACAATAGTAAATAAAATGCAGGCGCAAAAAATCGTGTTGCGCATGCGCAAAACGCAATTTTCTTATTTCTGGAGCAATTTGAACGAAACTTGGATGGTAGATCCCCCTAATCGCGTTTCTCATTCAAATACTAACCGGGAGTAACGTTGCTTGACTTTAGACTATAAATGATTGAATTATTGATAATAATAATTATAAGATTAAACACAAACAACAGTTGGTTTTGAGCTAGGGAGCTGTTCTATCAAGAATTTGGCAACTGGTTTTATCTTTGACATTTTTTTCTGTTTTTTTGTAATAAAACCTGGCACAATTTTTGTAGGTTGTACACAGAGAGTTAGGTCTTTCGAATTCGAACAAAAAAGTTCGATGTGGCGCTCCAAAATTTTTTTTCAAAAATCCGGCCCGTTATTTTTCTGTTCCGTATACCTAATATACATATCCAAAATTTGAACAAAATCCGTCGCGCCGTTTTCTCGCAAAATTACCAACATGCGTACGCACGTACGTACGTACATATAGACGGAAACAATTTTATTCTTTAAAAGTTGCTTAAAATGATCAAAAACGTCGACATTTTAACGAAATTTTGACATCCCCAAAAAACGGCTATCTCAATAGCTACATAGCTCGCGCTAGGAAGTCAAAATTTCACAGATTTCGCAATCCTTGCAACCGTCGGAGACATTGGAAATAACGCACAAATAACCCTTATCCACCCGGAATCACTTGCTATTCCAATGCTAAGGGTTACACAATCATGAAAATTCAGTATTGCTCATTCGGTTACACCGTTGAGTGAAGTTAATTACTCAATGGTTACACAAAAGGTACATAGTTTATTTAATTAGGTCCCTTAATTTTACGATAACAGAGGGCGCATTTTTCTATATTTCTGTGGGCTTTAGATAATGTCGTATACAGCAGACATCCCTATAAACAAGAAAATGCTAGCATAAAAA